AGTATAGATATATAGAACTATTTAGAATTCCATTACACATAATCCCAGATATTTAATAAAGTATCAGCAGAAAGTGGAAGATGATTAGGCCACCCTGTGTTGTGTTGATTGTCCTTACTGAGACAATGTCGGGTCAAATTTGGCTCAAAGTTTAGATTTTAATAATATAAGATTTTTAAAATCATAAATCCATATTTTCCACGTATTTTTTCATTCCAAAAGGTGAAAGAGAAGAAAAAAAAAGTCTGTCATCCAATCCCCTGCAGCATTTGCATCCACTACCGCAGAATCTAGTTCAATTGAGCCTGCAAGTAAAATCTGTTAACAATAGGGTGACCAGACAGCAAATGTGAAAAATCAGGACAGGGGTTGGGGGGTAATAGGAGCCTATATAAGAAAAAGACCCCAAAATTGGGACTCTCCCTATAAAATCAGGACATCTGGTCACCCTAGTCAACGATAATGTGAAACTGGCCACCCTCTTTGCATTGTCCAAGCTAACAGATAAGTAAGAGTCAACATTTTTTTTTAAAAGTATATGTTTCAAATTATTTAATTTTAATTTGAAAATAAAAGAATTTTTAAAGTGCTTAACATGAGTCCTTTTAAAATCAATATTATAATAATTGAGCTTTTTATACTGCCATTTCAAAGCGAGACAATATTAGCCACATTGTACAGATTAATAACCCAAGGAACGGGGTTTAAAAGTTCACTTATGACAAAAATAATGTTTTAAGCTATTTTCTTTCCTACTTTATAAACAACAACTATAGCCCTCATACTGCAAATATTTATGCAAGGGTGTAACTTTACTCACACAAGTTGTGATTTTGACGTCAGTGGGACTACTCATTTACATACAGATATTTCACCTGCTTGTTTGCAGGATTAGGTCATTAGATTATTAAAATGAGATCATTTTAAACGGGGACTTACTCTTTATGCTGATTTCTTTTACATTTCGCCTAAGCTTTGATAATAAAAAAGACTAGTCATTTTCCCTTTTATTGCTATTCAGTTTCACTTTCAAGGTGACATGAACCAGAAGAATGATGAAATGATTGGGAAGGAAATGTTTCCACTGGAAAAAACTTCTACTGCTGTTAAATTTTATAAAATGCTCCCCCACCCCAGCCAAATCTAAAATCCCAGTGCTGCAACTGGATCTAACTGTAGTATTAGAGCCAACTCATGGACCAGTTTTGACCTGATGGTGCCAGAGTGCTAACATCAAAAGTAATTGCACCTCAGCAGTTCTATTCCTTTAATTCAGTGGTTCTCAAACTTTTATACTTTCACATAGCAAGCCCCTGAGTGCAGCCCCCCTCCCCCGCAAATTAAAACTACCTTTTAAAAGATTTAACACCATTATAAATGCTGGAGGCAAAGTGAGGTTTGGGGTAGAGGCTGACAGCTCACGAACCCCAGTTTGAGAACCCCTGCTCTAATTGGTCAATTGGACCAAACAAACATCTCCAGTGCAATGGGAGCTACTTTTTAAGGGCGGGGAAATCAACATTTACCAAGGCACAGTATTGGTAATAGTGCCTCTCTTTAACATGGGAAATAGCCATGTAGATTTGGACAAGCTGGGGAAGGACGCTGGGATTTGTTTGTTGGTATAAGCGGCCCCTACTTTAACCACAGTCGGAGCACCCTGTACCCTTTCAGCTGCAATGTGTCCACGCACAGAAAGGGAAGTCTAGTGCCCATGCAATTTAGCTGGGTCGTTGCAACCCCGCACGCTGACAGGAGGGAAAAGACAAACATTGTCCAGCTCGTGCACACCCGCGGGGGCCGTCGGGCTGCTTCCCTGCAGATCGCCGAGGGAGGGAGGCTGGAGGGAGACGGTTTGCTCCTGGGCTAATCGCCGCCCTGGATTTACTGCAGCCTTGGCGGAAGGGCTGCACGGGAATAAACAGCCTCATTCCCTTGGCTTTGACCGAGCCGCAGCCTGGGTGGGAAGCCCGGCACCACGCCCAGCAGCCGGGCCCAGACCCTTCCCCGCGCCCCGGCACCTTCATTCCCACGCACGTGCCCCGGGTGCACCGGCCAGGCTGCCGCTGCCCCGTTAGTCCCGCCGCCGGCCTTACCCGGGCTTTGTCGCGGGCGCTCAGGCGCCCCTCGTGCACGAAGGGGTTGCGGACGCTGGGCGGGTAGAGGGACTGCTGCCTGGGCAGGGGGAAGAGCCGCTGCGCCATGGCCCCGCTCCGCTCCGCTCCGCCGCTGTGCAGTCACCGCAACGGAGCCCGGCGCCGGGCTGCTCCACCTCCTACCGCCACCTGCGCATGAGCCGGCCGGGGCCCGGGGGAGGCTGGCCTGAGGGGAGCGCGCCCGAGGGATTCCCCCGCAGGCAGGAGACGCCCACGGCCGGGTCTCGGCCCCCGGCCTTTCAGCGTGTGGGCGCTGGGGGGGGGGGGGTGTTCTGCGGGGCAGCCCCCTGCCCTGGCTCCAGCCAGAGCCCCCAGAAGGGCTGGGAAGGGGGGGGGGATTTAATGGCAGCCTGGGCTGGCCCCCTGGTGTAAACGGGTCTCTGAGGGAACTGCCCCCAGAGCACAGCCAACCCCAGGGCCCTTGTGGCCCTCAGCTTTGGGGGCGGGGAAGGGAACCATCCCAGGTACAGAAGAGCCCCTGTTCCTCCTGCAGGAGCTGTGGCCAAAGCCAAAGCTGGAGGACCCCCGACACTTCCCATCTCCTGGGACTCAGTAGTGCAGTGGTTCTCAAACTTTTGTACTGGTGACCCCTTTCATACAGCAAGCCTCTGAGTGCAACCTTCCCCCCCCCCCATACATTAACAACACTTTTATATTTAACACTATTTTAAATGCTGGAGGCAAAGCGGGGTTTGACCCCCCCCCAAGTAATAACCTCATGACCCCCTGAGGGGTCCCAACCCCCAGTTTGAGAACCTCTGGGCTAGTGGGTTCTTGACAGCACCCCAAACCTTGAACAGCAGGCCCCTTGCACCCTTCTCAGAGGCAGCACACAGAAAGCCTCACTAACCTTACATCTATTTGTGGTGCCTATTTGGCCTCCATCACTGTAGTATCTACAAGCCTCACAATCTTTACTATATCTCTCCTCACAACGACCCTGGGAGGCAGGGAACTACTATTGCCCCCATTTCACAAATGGGGAACTGATGCATACAGAAACTAAATGACTTGCCCAAGGCGTCTGCTTGGAGGTTGCATCCCTTGTTATGATGATGATTTGCTTTGTGGTAGGGCCTGCTGGGACCCCCAGTCATGGCCTAGGATTCCATTGTGCTGGGCGCTCTACAAACACAGACCAAAAGACTGTCGCTACTCCATGGAGATTTTCTTTTCCCCTTTCCTTTGTGGTGGTACAAAACCAAAAATCTCTCAAATGCACAGCCCAATCAATCATAGAGGAGCAAGCCAGGTCTGGGTCAGTCGGGTCTGTCTCTCTCTCTTTAATATGTGTAAAGTTTACTTCAATAACGTCAGTTTCATCCTTTTATATCATGTTGCCACCATTTCTGATTCGTATTTGACAGGGTTTAACAATGAGACAGCCCCAGGTTTGTATGTAGAAGCAGGGGTAAACATGGACCTAAAATAGATGGCATATCCTGTAAAGAGGTCCTCATCCTAATGCCCTGAAACCTTTATGCTGCAATGATCTACCACTAGGCAGAGACAGGACAACTTATTGCCAGAAAGATAAAGTCAGGGGATCAGGTGGCATAATTAGTGAAGAGGAGTTAATTTTAGGTAGGGAGCCCTATAAGGCTATTCATTCTCCATCTCCCTTTCGGAGGTGAGGGCTGCTGGAACTTCCTCTGTCTTCAAACCTGAATTAAGCTGGGTCCCTTTTTGAAACTAAGCAAAGTTTCAGCCTGACTTTCTTTGGGGTACTTTGTTTTAGTTCCTCACACTACACTCATAACAGAGTTGATATAAGTTTATTAACCTGTTTATGATATAAGAACAAAACTTTTTCATTGCCCCATCGAAGGCAGGGGGTCTGGTGGAGTGGGCACTGGACTGGGACTTGGCTTCCAGTCTTGGCTCTCAAATGACTGACCTGCTGTGTTACCTTAGGTGAGTCCCTTGACCTCCCTGTGACACTGTTTCCTATCTCACCTATTGTCTGTCTTGTGTGTAACTAAGCATTCATGTAGTGGCTAGCACCCTAACTCTGTTGGGGCCTCTAAGTGCTACCATCATACAACTAAATAACAATAATAATAGACAAGTCTCAACTTTCTAATCCAGTTCCTCTGTTTGGAGAGAACAGTACTTACCTACTTCACAGTGATGTCATGAGGATTAATACATTAACAGCAGTCAAATGATTTTTAATAGTATTTGTGCTTTGAAAGTGCAAAACACAGTGTAACAGCTAATTAATAATACAAAGATTCTGCCAAATTGTGGCTTCAGGTATGCACGCACCGCGCTATCTGTCTGCAATTGAATCTTGGACGGGATAGGATTTTCCTCACTGCTGGGGTTTTTCACTGTCACCTGTCACACACCCTGTCTGGAACAGTTACAGGACAATCAAAGAAGTTGCTAACATGGAATGTTGGGGAACCTTTTGACTGCCATGCTTGAACTATCTAGAGAGAACTTGTTACAGATGGAGGGAGAAAGAATCTGAAGGCTGAGAGGGAGGAGAGGAGAGTCTAGGCATCTTGAAAGGACCGACCAAAAATCCAAAGGGCTCTCTGAGCGGTGAGGGTATTGGAGGGAGGTGCTGGTTTTGTTTTCGCATTGTTCTGTAACTTGCTGTTGTTTCTCTATGAATAACTGTTTGTTCAAAAACCTGACGGCTTGGCTAGGTGAGCAGCAACCAATTCCTCTCTCATCGGCAGCCAGTTGACTATGGGTTGACCTGGTGGCCGAGCGGGGACTTGGAAAATTTTTCAGACTCGGCAATAATTTTTCAGACTTGGCAAAAAATTTTCAGCCCGCTTCCTCCAGATTGACCTGATGGCCGAGCGGGGAGCTGAACACCACTTGTCCATCTAAGATGTTGGACGCCGATCGCTCGGGGGTCGCATAACTAGTTAGTATGCCAGACTCTCGTTCGTTATCGGAATTAACCAGACAAATCTCTCCACCAACTAAGAACGGCCATGCACCACCACCCACAGAATCGAGAAAGAGCTATCTATCTGTCAATCCTTTCCATGACCGGGCCGGGTGAGGTTTCCCGTGTTGAGTCAAATTAAGCCGCAGGCTCCACTCCTGGTGGTGCCCTTCCGTCAATTCCTTTAAGTTTCAGCTTTGCAACCATACTCCCCCCGGAACCCAAAGACTTTGGTTTCCCGTAAGCTGCCCGGCGGGTCATGGGAATAATGCCGCTGGATCGCTGGTTGGAAC